TCTCTAAGGCCAGAAAACCCCTTACACATATGAGATAAGTTAATTTGCAAAATAACAAGTACAGTCGAAAAACACCCCTAATTAGGGGCGTTTTTTGCAATGTTAGGGGTGGTTTAACCATTGCTGCAAGTTTTAACCCCGATTTTCGTAATCAGCGCTCCAAAAAAAAACATATGAGATGAGTTAGTTGGCAAAACAACAAGTATAGTCGAAAAACACCCCTATTTATGGTTAAAATGACATCACTTTGAACTAGCATATGATTACAGTGGGTAATCGTCGTAGCCAATCCAACAGTTGTAAGGCGAGGATAAGAGAAAGAGATAGAAAATAAGCTGCATGGAAAATTAGTAGATTAAAAAGTTCCGCGCTTTTTTAGCGCATGAGTAAAGCGAAATTGTAGAATAACGGGGAACGTAGATTAGCATTTTTTTTTATTTTAATTTGTGAAAAAATCAAATTAAAGTTTTAGCATAACAGAAACTACTGTAATTAAAATCAATTTTTTTATATATAAATTTTATGCAAGATATGTAAGGTAAAATATTATTTTTAGTTTATAATAATTTTTGTTAGTGTCTAGCATTTATTTCGCTCTATTATTTTTTTCTCAGTGTAATATAACTGCAATCCGTCTCATACGTTAAATACAAAGTCAAAGGACTGGCAGTTATTCTCAGATAAAAGTATGAAGGAAGATATGAAGGGTGTACAGGTCACTACAACTTCCCTTGCTACTTGAAAACTCTCTCTCTCTCTCTCTCTCTCTCTCTCTCTCTCACACACACACACACACACACACACACACACACACACACACACACACACACACACACATACACGTTTCACCATACATGTGGGCCCATGGGAATAATACCGTACTGTGGGGACATTGAAACTGCGCACATAGCAATATAGATCTTCTCGCGCTGATTCTAACGCTATCTTTAAAATATCTATACACTCCAAATAAACACCTTACACACTATGAAAAAGTTGTGGGGTCAGACCCTACAAGTATTTAGACGTCAAATATGTGTAATGGTGTCCTTTTAATTATTGTAACGTTGGAATGTGGGTATACGTGAACCCACAAGTAATGTAGATATTGTTTTGTGTATGAGTGTTCCCATAAATATATGAGTCTACTTATGTTTATTTTCCTGTACTCAGAACTTATGCATAATATAAAAAGATACACATGAACTCATAAGAAATGGAAAATCAAATTTTAGTGTAATTTAAACAAGAAGATAATATAAAAAAAAAGGATTGGTTAAAGTTATATAGTGGTATGTAATAATTTCTAACAAATCTAAACAATTCAATTGAGATATGTGTTTAAAAGTTTTGAATTGACACTCGCTCTGGCATAAAAATATGAGTTACATGGTCGCCCTGTGGAGCGGGAGGACAGAATAGCTCTATCCAGACATTCACCTTTGGGGTTGTAAAAGCCCACCAAATGACCACTTTTAGAAAAGGGGCATCTAGTGACACTGGTGACGTTATTAGCCTGTAGGACTCGGCGATTTGTCAACCAGCAGGCTTTTAACTAGTTGAGAGGCAGGTCCTATTTATCCCGGGAGGATGCATAATGGGTCTACTGAGGCGTAAGTAGCAGTGAAGCAACCCACCCTCCCCATCCTTACAGATACAGACAGATGAGTACAAATTAAAATAAATTATTATAAATTAAAATAAATTAAAAGAAATTAAAATAAAAAAATATTAGACTTAGTAGCTTTGATGACAGTGGCTTTTCTTCACCGAATATTAGAAATCTCATTCCACCCAGGCTTTCACATTGGTACAGGACGTGGAATGGTGTTTCCTCTTCTTCTTCACAGAACCTGCACAAAGTTTTTTCTTCTGCTGGATTGATGACACTTATGTGCCTTTTAAGGTGACAGTGTCCGGTAAGAAGACCTACTGTTATCCTAACGATTTGACGCTTTTTATCCAGTAAGTCTTTTGTGAACTTGGCCAATGGTTCCTTGATGAACTGTTTGGCATGTATCAGTCTTGGATAGTTCTTCCACCATTCCTGATACTCTTTTTGCATCCATTGTTTGATGGATGTCTTGCACAAAGCCTCGCAACTACACAGAAGGGTTTGGGGCCTGTCATGGCCTTATATAAGCCTTCTCGGGCTAATTCGTCGGCCTTTTCATTACTCTGATATCCCTCATGGCCTGACATTTAAGCTAGGGTCACCTTGTTTTGGCTACTTAGCTCTGCCAAGTCCTCTAGACAGTCTTTCACCAGTCGTGATTTGATTTCTGGTGAGAGAATTGCCTTTAGAGCTGCTTGGCTATCAGAGTATATGGCAATAGTTTTGCCTGATACTTACTTGTTTAGTATTTCTCTTGCACAATGTTGTATGGCTATTAGTTTAGCCTGGAACACTATTGCATCAGATACCCTTATTTTAGTCCTTTTCAAGACTCTGATAAGCGCACGGTTGGATAAATTAGGGCGCATTTATTTGTATTATTTTTTTGGTTACTATTTTAAACTTAAATATTTTTTTAATTTAACTGTCTGGTTGCTTGTTTTAGGCGAGTCCCACATTTTGTAAAATACCTACCTACCTACCGAAATAATACTCAATAAATACTGTAACGCGATACTTGATATTTTATCTATTTGTTATAATGTGTTTAAGCTCAATTGATTTTGGGCGTGGGTTAGGTTATTAAATAACTCGAATAACTTTAAAAAAGAAGTTGGGCACCACTATATTTAAAACTTACCAACTATACTTGACTTTAGATTAGTGATAAAAATATAGAAAATCACTAACCAATAACAAATTATATTTAAACCAACTTTTAGATAAGGTAGTAGCAAATTCTAATTCACATAGTTTTACTAAATTCAAATTCAACATGATTTATTTAAAAGCACTTATCTGTTCTTAAAACGAAGTAATATAAGGAATGTTTATTTGCATGGTATTCTTCAGGCAACTTCAAAGGGATTCGGTATCCTTATTCTTAATTCTGGAACTTGAATGATATTGTGAAATTTGATATTCTAACTTAAATTTGAACGTGTAAATCTTCTATAGATGAACCAAACCACGGTCTTCAGATTGTACCAAACTTCTAGGTATAAAAACCATAAAACTTCTTGATAGGAATTCAAAACGTCTAGATATAAATCCACATAAACTGTCTAGATATAAAACGAAATAAACCGTCTAGATAGAGCCATGCTAAAAAGAAAGGCGAATGTTATAACAGGAAATAGGAAATTTGAACAGGATTTAGATAAAATACTTTAATTATTAAATGAACAATTTAAAACTATTAAATGAATAATTTCACATAGACTAAAATTAATATGAAAAGGAAAAATCTTATTTAATACATTTAAACATAGTAAAGCATAATATCTTATTCCAAAAAAAAAATATATAAATTTATATAAAACGTGTTATCCATTGTTGAGGTTACGTTCAAAATTTGACATTTTATTTAAGAAATTCTTGTACAAAATATATATTTTCAACAATATATCAGTATTTAAACTTACCTTATAAAATCAGACGGAATTTATGATAGATAAAAATTATTTAGTAAATCGGATGACCAAGATATATTAAAATTCAAATCAACTTGTTTCGTTGACAAATTCAAATCAAATGAAATACGAAATTTTGACACAAGGCCTAAATGACATTTGAGTAGAGGTGATTGTGTTGAAATAACGAATAACGGTTCCAACCGTTACAATACATATTCAAAAAAATATATTTTTAAATGATGATTTTATGTACCCCTTAAATAATAATATAGGCACCCACACCTAAAATTTCTTGATCTGACATATTTATTACTCCGAGGCGATTTCGATTCGACTATAAATGAAAATTCAAGCATTTTCTCTCAGTCCGTATATTAAAAGATCTTGTTATATCATGTAATTATTAATTAATACCTTCATAGTTTTTCATCATAATTTAATTAAAAAACTTTTTCAAATTTTAATTAATTTTAGCCAAAAATAAATATTATTTTAATATATATTTTATTTTCGAAAATAATTTATATTTTATAAATTACCAATTTTAACGATATGCTTTATTATACAAAGTGTTTATGTTCTATAGGAATCCGTTATAAAAGAAAGGCGTGTCCCACTCAAAATAAAAAAGTTGACACCTACTTTCGGTAAAAGCGAAAATGACAGAACTATCAAAATATTTTACATGTTTACTACTCTTACTAATTTTTAAGAAAATCAGTCCATTAGTTTTTAAGAGTGCCCCTCGTCGCTGGACACCTTATATATCTTGGTTCCTATTTTTTATATTAGAGCAACCCGGTGTCTCTGTATGTATTAACTGATCTAATAAAAAATACTTACTGAATACAATATCAGAAAATGCTACCGCATCAAGAGAAAATTATAAAAAATATCATTCGCATACGTCACCTGCCCCAAATGGTACTGAATACTACATTAGTTATTGTGTCCCCATAACTGTATGCGTATTGGTATTCGCTTACACACAAATTTATGAAACCAATATTTATTGAAATATATTTATTTTTTGTAGGGGGCGCCACTTTCTAGTACAACAACTAGTCCCCACTTCAATACCGAAGTCGAAAAATATACACACCTGATATTTTACCTAGTTGTGGGGACAGTAACTTATTTAACAATTTTGGTAAAAGTAATAACTCTAGATTAGTTAAAATTAAAAGTGCCACGAACAAATTTTTTTGCGATTTTTTTATGTAGTAATGATCATTAAAAGAAAAGAAACAACGAAGATAAAGCCAAAAAAAGTTGTGGGGACAAGTGTGTATGTCCCCACAACATTAAATGTCCCCACAACTTTTACTGTCCCCACAGTCCTGGTTTTATTCAGGCGAAAATCCCACAAGTACGGTAAAACATACGCACACACACACACACACACACACACTGATTTTCTTTACGTATTTTGAAAAAAATTTCAAGATACATTCAGGATTTTGTTACAGGGCCTTATATGAAAAAATTGTGTTTTTGGAACAGAAAACTAGAGAACAAGACATAATAATCGCCAATATGTCTGAACAAATTTCATCCTACAATCTCTCGATGACAAAATTGCATCAGCGGTACTGCAACGGTTGTTACTTATGGTATTTCAATGATTTTAAAAACAAAATAAATGCCATGAGAGAAAATCCGCATCTAATGTATTATAGTCCTGGATTTTTTACATCGCCGAATGGATATAAGTAAGTGTTTGTATAATTATTTACCTGTTTACAAATGTACATAAAAATTTTAGTATCAGAACTACGTTTATATATGCTGTTCACACTTCTTCTGGAATATAATGTTTAAATTGTATAAATAAAATAGAATTATTATAAGCATAAAATACTGATATGAATTCCTGCCCTGGTGTAGCTCTGAGCACCAGGAACTATACTCCTTAGGGTGTGCTTCTCTCTGAAATTTTATAAACAATTTAAAAACTGATAATAATAATAAAAAAAATGTTCTCAATCTTCTCTTGGATTCCTGTAATTTCTAAATTCAAAACTAAATTTTCGAGTTAAAAGTATTTCTGCTACCAGCTGGTATTCTCTGCTACTGAATGTTTTTAGAATTTGTAGATTATTCCTTGAATTTACTTTTTTTATACACAAACATAATACACTCATATGCATAACTAGCATATACTGTCAATATATTTAGATTTTTAAAGTGACCAATATTCGAATTGCTCTTTTTTGTATTACAAAAACTTCTTGACAGTGTGAACCTCCCCAAAAAATAATTCCATAGCACATTGAGGAATTGAATAACCATAATACACTGATATAAGATAAGAATGATCTACGACTTTTTTAACTTGTTTCAATGCAAAGCAATCTCTACTGAGCCTTCCACAAAGTCAATGTAGATGTTCGACCCAAGTTAGATGTTCAATTATTACGCCGAGAAATTTTGTTAATTTAGAATATTCTAGTAATGTATTACATAAGTTAAAATCCTCTGGATATTCATTTTTATTACAACTGTGCTTAAAAAGTATGCAATTAGTTTTAGATAAATTTAATAATAGCGAGTTTTCACCAAACCATTTTGAAATTCTCTCTACAGCATTTGAGGTATCTTTTTCATTCAAGTACTTTGTAATGGATTTTAGATAGTAAAACATTTGTGTCATCGGTATAATTAGTAAGAGCCACAGAATGATTTGTAAAAATGTTTGGTAAATCGTTTATATATAATACAAATAAAATAGAACCTAAGAAACTTCCCTGTGGAACACCCAGCATAGTATTTTTTGAATCAGACTAATATTCGCTATTGTCATATTTAAAACAAGCCTGTTGTGTCCTATTTGAAACATAAGATTGAAACCAGTCATATACATTACCTCGCACCCCATTTCGTATAATTTGTTAAGAAGTAAGTATATGGTGATTCACACAATCAAAAGATTTTATTAAATCTAAGAAAACTCCGCAAACAATATTTCCCGAATCTAAAAAGTGTAAAATTCTCTCAACAAAATTGAAGACTGCTGTTGTAGTTGACTTATCTCTTTGAAATCCATGCTGCGTACTTGTGATAACAATATTTCTAAAAATGGTAATAGTCTGTTACACATAGCAATTTCAAAAACTTTGGAATAAATAACAACACAAAAGACTAATTGGTATATAATTTTCTACAAGGGAAAGATCTCCTTTTTTGTGAATAGGTATTACAACTGCAGTCTTTAATCGCATTGGAAAAATACTAGTTTTAAAGGACTCATTGAGTATATAGCATAGCGGATTTATTATAATGGATGCTGATGTATTTTAAGATCACATAACTATGTTATCATCACCTGTTGAGTGTTTATTTTTTAAGTGATTGATTATATTCTTTAGTTCTTCTGGCGTTACATCCGATATGTATAATGATCTTGGATAGTCATCAACATAATTTAAATTAGCATTACTGGACACACTTCTTAATAAATTTGTAGCTGCTGAGACAAAGAAATCATTAAAATAATAGCAACCGTAGTTGGTGAAGAGATTATCTGGCCCTCAATACTAATACCTTCAGAAAAAATATTTTTTGTTTTAGCTTTGCTCAATTCAAAGTTTACGATATTCTAAGATGTTCTTATTGTAAAAATGTCTTTTCTCATTCTGAATTAGATTTGTATGTTTTAAATTCGTTCAGTTGATATTTAGAAATTGGATTTAATAAGTACATTTCCGATGAAAGATTAAGAGTATTTTTAGCTTTATTAATTTTTTAAGACCTCCACTTGGGTTTTAATGTTTTGCACATATTCATCTTTTTTAATGGGAAATGCCTTGTATTTTTAACAACGCCAATAATTGACTTGCGTGTAAAACTTTCATAGCCAAACCAGATTTAGAAAAGTGTGAACAGCATATTATACAATTTGTTACTAAAATTTTAAAGTGTACATGTTTTTCTTTTGTTTCGTAGATTGTGTATACGTTTAAACTTGTCGCCGAAAGACAATCATTATATTGCAGTATTAATACATGTCATGAAAACCGATCATGATGATGCTTTAGATTGGCCGTTCAGCGGGAAATTGAGTGTAACATTGGTTCATCCTACGTAAGTGAACATTTCATTGTTCTTGTTTTTTTTTTAAATATTAAGTCTCATTTATTTTTTTTTTACTCAAACCACGATTTATTTTTTAATATTCATTATTTCAAAAAGTTTTCGCTCGTTAAATAATAAGCCGTCTTAGAAAAAGTAAAGTATTGTCTAGCTTTTTTTTTTTTTTTTTTTTTCGCGTTATCGCGTTAGGAAAAGTTGTTTTTCTCCCTTCTTGTTGCATGATATAAAGAAGTCTTTTTTTCTTTCAATAGGCAATCGTATCGAAATATTAAGGAAACTATGATGACCCGACCGGAATTAGACGCATTTAAGCGACCAGTTCAAGATTTGAACCCAAAGGGTTTCGGTTATACCGAATTCGCTTCATTAGAGGAAATAATGGAACAGGACTTTGTCCACAAAAATCAATTGACTATTAAAGTTCAAGCTCAAACCGTCTGATTGTGTTTTTTGTTTTTACTAAATTAATATTCAATATTGAACCTCGTATCGAACAGGGCCATATCAAGAAATGTATTTATGATTACTCATGAATTAATTTTCAGAAAGTTAAATTAATTGTAAAAGTGTACTGGGTGTCCAAATAAGAAAGGACGCCAGATATCAACAATTCATCGTAGAATTTTTGAAAAAACATTTCAAGTATAAAGTTGACAATATGAATAGCTGAAAATTATTTTTAAATGTTTTTATTTCGACACTAGATGGCGTATGCTTTATAACTAACTAGCTGATCCGATCCCGCTGCGCTGGAATTTCTCAAATCTCAATTATTAAAAGTGAACAACAGTTCGTTACTTGAGAGAAATTTTTTCATGCGATACCTGGCAAATTTTTTTATTTATTTTTAATAGTTTTTAATAATATTTAATAATTTTTATTCATTTTTATTTATTTTTATTCATTTTTATTTATTTGTATTTATTTTTATTTATTATTTAGTCTTACGATACTCCCCATTTCTCCATCCTTAAAATGTGAAAATCCAAAAATCTTGAAATACGTCAAACTAACTCCATCTTACGTTTTGTCCATTCTTTACTTTACTGATTAAAAAAAGTTTGGTTAAAGGTGGACATCAGTAGGATACAACCTGTATCTTAGAAACTAGTTTTATATTTTCAACATAACTTTTATTTTGTAATTGCGCCTTCTAGTGACAAAGTTGTTAATAATTTTCAGCGATTTAACTTAACCAATTTTATCATTAAATGTTGTTTCGAAAATTCTACGTTATATTGTTTCTTAGATACAGCCCACACTTAAACAAACACCCGGTGCATATTGAGAAAAACTCGAATTATTTCTTTTTAAAAATGTTTTTGTAAATAAATTTTTTAATTGTTATTGGCAGACTAAAATTTACTATTTTTGTATCTTTTATCCAGAGGGGTAAACCGCAGGTTAAAATTTGTACATCTAATTCCCTTTATTACCCATTTCATGCAATTCCTTTAAATTATCTCTTTAATTCGCCAGCCCTTCCCACAATTCCTTAAATGTCTGCTAACCTGTAAATCCTCGTTATTCACTAGCCTTGTACATTTAATTGCCTTTGCAGTTTGCCTCTCTCTTTATACTGTTATTGTTACTATTTATACATTGCACTTAGTACTTAAAATCAAAATTGTAGGATATTGATTCGCTATGCAGTATAATGTATTGTGATGCAGAATTAAGAGCGATTTTGAAAACTGGGTATCGTGCTGTGTCATTCCATGCTTATAACAACCCCACAATTTCAAGCGGAATTACTGTTTTATGTTTTCTTTCATGTTTTGCTTTTTTTCCTTTCCTTTCCTTATCCTTTTTTTGTGCCTTAACTTTTTTACATGTCCTGGTGTACCGGAACGAATGACAACCCTATACCACGCAATTACCTCGTCCAATTTCCCCACTTCTGAATATAACGAATGGTATATTCTTCTCGAAATTGTTCGTAACCTTCGTCGGCTGGCGTAAATCCCACTATACTCGCACTTTTAAAAATCGCTCTCTAATCTGTTGTACCCTGTATAAGTATTAAATTTGTTGAAACTATTTTTATCAAATAAATTTTACACATTTACAAAAATTGGATTATTTATTTAATTTTACCAAGTCAACTCCCTCCAAGACCCCAGTGTAAGTATTTTCAAAAAAAAACAATGTCTAAATATAAATGTTAAAAATGAATTCAAATTAAGAAACAAAATAAATAATTTCAGTGCAATCGCTATACAAAATAAAAGTTGTTAAATCACGACAAATGATATTGTAAATCAATGCTTAATAAGAATACATACACACATCAAAAAAATCTAGGGAACAAGGATTAAAATTGTTATAACTTTTTTGAAACACCAGGTATTATATTGAAAATTTCTGTAGATATTTTTAATACCTTTTTGTTTACAATGTTCATGATTTTAAAGGTTTAGCAATTGATAAAATATTTGTCTTTTATCGATAAAAATAGCCTATTAGTTTCTTTTGGTTTTTGATTCTACGAAGGACAAAACGAGATTTTCGGTATTCGAATTAATGTTTAGTTTAGTTGTTCATGATGGAAAGACGACATTTAAACCGCGACGAACAATTGCGAGCAGTAGAGATGGTTGAAGGAGGCCAAAATTATAAAGCAGTAGCGGAGGTCCTTAACACATCAGCTAGCGTGATTTGTCGATTGATGACAAGATACCGTGAGACCGGGGATATTAGAGAACGACATACTGGTCGTACGAGAGCAACTGACCCTCTACATGATCGTTTTATTCGATTACAGGCAGTACGAGATCGAACTGTCACAGCAGGTAAGTTAGCAAATCAGTTATACCGCACACACCATATTGCTGTGAGCAGCCAGACTGTGAGAAACAGGTTGCACCAGTTCAACCTTTATGCTCGCAGACCGCTCCGTGTTTCCCCGTTAACAAGAGGTAATCGCGCACAAAGACTACGATGGGCACAAGAACATCAACACTGGGACATCAAGAATGGTCTACGGTACTTCTTACAGACGAATCCCGATTCGGTTTTCATCCGGATTCACGTCGACTTCGTGTTTGGAGACGACCTGGAAATCAGGGCTGGAACTTTGTGTCATGTAGAATTCTACTTATCGCTTTCTACAACAGATTCTTTTGTGGCACTCTGTGTAACATAGCGGAAAACCAACGAGTATATACTTACTACAGGATAACTAGTGTCATAAGAAACCACATTGCGATATTTCCCGTGCGGTTGATAACGTATTTATCACAAAAGAAAGTAATCGATTTCTATTGTTGAAAGCGATAAGTAGAATTCTACATGACACAGAGTTCCAGCCCTGGAACGTCTTGCCGCAGCCCAGGAAGTCTACAGCTACCAGGGTGGTACAATAATGGTGTAGGGGGGGTATGTGTGTCGGAGGAAGGACTGACCTCGTTTTATTAGACGGCTTTTTGAATGCTACCAGTTATCGTGACAGTATTTTGGAACCTGTTGTGCTTCCATATGCTACAGAATTTGTTCCGAATTTCCAGCTAATGCACGACAATGGCCGTCCGCGATTTTACGTTTCCGTGTTCAGTTCAAACCGACGCGGTCTTGAAATAAACACAGGAAAGTATTGCAATATTTATTGGCAAACCCGTGTTGATTTAAAGGCGCCAGGCAATGAACAACGATTTGTTTGGAAATGAATGAAGGTACATGTACTGAACTACTGAACATGGAGACGGTACACAAAAAGGATCGCATAACTTACGTTTAGAGCAATGGAACATAATTGTGTTAAATAATCTAGTAATATGAAAGTAATTTAACTTAACTAATTTTTATTTATATACTTATATTAACATAAAATAATGACAAAAAAATTGGTAAGAATTAAGTATGTATAGTCTATACGTATAGGTATAGAAAACATGTTTAAATAGTTTAATACATCTTTCGTAGTAGAAAATTAGTAGCAGGTACCTAACATTAGATTATGCGATACTTTTTGTGACTGGTGCAAATTATTTTTTATTTGTTTTATTATAGAGCATTGTCACAGTTTATAGCTAAAGAATCAGTTCGCTCACTCTTTTGATCTCAATGTTCAAATTTATACACTGCGCAACTCGGATTTGTATCCCTGGCGCATACAGAATCAATTCATAACCAATACAATATATGACAACCGCCTATATTCAAACAGCATTCTTCTGCGCATCCTGAATTTGTATCCCTGGAGTGGATATTATTTTGGAACATCCAATTTTGGTCCGAGTGAGCGAACTGATTCTTTTAAGCTATAAACTGTGGCATTGTTGACAATAGAACAGAAGTAAAAGTTGGAAATGCTTTTGCCAGTTCTCCCACTTTATACACATAAATTGACAGGTTGTCAGCGGATCTCACCGAAGTGGACGCGATACATTGGCGTACAAAATTATTTTATAGATGTTAATAACAATTTCGAGTAAATAGTTTAATAAATTGTGAATAGCTGTTGAAATTTTGTAAAATTATAATTTGAATATTATAATACATGTTCAATAATTATTTATAATCTATAATAAATACATGCGATTGTCCGGTTCCTCCGATAACAATTTAAAATTACTATTCTATGAAACGACACTGGCAGGTAAACATTACTATGAAATTCTCGGAGCCGCCCGACGTGGTTTGACGTTTACCCCCTCTCTACCTACCAAAAGACTTTTCAACTTTTACTTTCCCTATACCTATTGAAATCAATGAACGTCACAGCCGCCTCTAAGGACCGATTCCACCGTTGTGTTGAACGAAGTTTTAAATGACATTTTTACATTAACAATGTCATTTTAATCTCCACAACGGTGGAATCGGCCCTAACTCAAAATGTGGCGATTTATGTTCAAATTACAGAAAGTCAAAAACGAAAAATTTTGTATTGCTTTTAAAATGTTTTAAGCAATTTTTGGGGGTACCTAAATGATTTTACAATATTTACTTTATGTTGTCTAGTTTTGTATTTAAATTTGTAAAAAAACAGTTGACTTAATTAAAAACTCTATCCAATCAAACCAGTAGCACGTCTAATAGTAACGTTTTTTATAAAAAATTTAAAAAAAAATGATAACAAACGCGAGAATAAGAATAAACTGCGATTTTCTTGTACCACTGCATGCAATTTCGACAGAATTACTCGTTGCGACGTCACAGTCCGGAGGCTGCCTGCGCGCGAGCACACCATCCTATATTCACACCACAGTCCAGACACAGCACGGCTGGTGCGTGAATTTCTAGAAACTGAGCATATCAACGTTTTGCGATGGCCTGCGCAGTCACCAGACCTTAATACCATTGAACATTTGTGAGATTCAATGGGACGAAGACTTCTTCGTCAACAAAGGCAGTTTGACACAAGGGAACAGCTCTTTATTTGTCTTTCTGACCTATGAAATACTACAGACCAAATGGAAATTAACAATCTCATTTTCAGCATGCCCAATAGACGCCGAGCTGTAATTAATGGACAGGGAGGTCATACTACTAGAGCACAAACAATCAAGAATTTCGTTTCTGTGAGATTTCTTGCATATCAAGTTATTGAGATTTTTATTTTTTCTATAATTGTTGAAATAATTTTTGTTCTTGTAAAATTTTGATTTTTTGTTGGTAGTGTTAAACGAACGTTAGTATCAATAGCCACACAAATTTTTAGGGTAATTACACACACTTTGTCATCTTGAGACCCTTCTGAAAAGAAACCAAAGGGATCTTAAAATATTGTTTAACATTATTAACTCATCTGCCGATTGTCCATACTTGTATCCCAAATTGGATTTTCTGTACCCTCTAGAGTAACTAGGAATATTAATACATTCTCCCAACCTTTTCATAGAACAAATTATGGTTCTCACTCTTTTATTCCTAGAGTACCAAGATCTGCTAACAGACTAAATGTAGAATGGATTACTTTTCCATCAGATTTTTTAAACCATTTATGTATATGTGAGGAGTAGATTTTTAATTGTTTTTAATATTTATGTATTTAAATTAATTTATTATTATTTAGGATTTTGTTACTCTTTAATGTATGTAATATGTATTATCTGTAATTGTATTGCTTTAATAGGCTCTGACCCGTAAATAAATATATGGTGTCTCCAAAAACTTATAAGAATTTTTATTCTTGTTCCATATATTTTTTTGATGTGTGTATTAACTGGATAAATTAATACAAGATTAAAGTAAAAATCTAAAAAAATCATGATTACTATACTTTTCTTATCTATATAAAGACAGGAAAGTAAAAATATGTAGTTGGTTTCACATAATATGGTGCATAAGAAACCAAATAGGTTTATATAGCTATTGCTTATTTTTCCAATAGACACCTAGGTATGGTTGTTTAATGAATAAATGGCGCAACTACACTGAGAAATAACTTTTGTTACCACATATGCATTTTATCTGAAATTTATTGTACATATTACATACCTACTTAAGTACTTAAGTTTTAGGTATGTATATCATTATTACTATACCTTTAAAGTTCATTATTGGTGATGCAAAATAATGAGCTTAGTTTATTTTTCTGATAGATGTTCTCTTACCAATTCTACAATACACTTTTTTGGTTGGTTTCGGATACATAAAATATGCCATCACACAAAATAAAAATGCATTTTTTTTTAAGTTGGGACTAATAAAAATGTCTTTTTATATAGAGATAAACTCTCACAAACACAAATTGTCAAAAATTTAGACCAACAAATGAGGATAAAATGACATGAAAATAAAAACATTTCATATTATGTACATAAAAAAAATCATAATAAATTCTCAAAATTAATACTTACATACTATACTTTTAAGAATACTTCTCAGATTGATTAAAATCTGGTATAGTAATTTCACCTAAAGAAGGGCGGCGTCTAGCAACCCTAGATAAAAATATGTTTTTGCTCATTCAAAAGGCATAAAATTGCTTTTCAAATATAAAAACACAAGTGTTCATAATTTTATTTTAACAAACAAAAATAAAAGGATACATAACAGTTTTTAAACAATGTAATACCAAATACTGAATAATATATATTTATAATAAATGTGAATTGTTTTTATTCCTTTTTCCAAATCTTCCTCACAGTATTACTAATACCGATAGAGCTGTGATTGTAATAAATAAGCCCTCCTAGTGTCGATATCGAAACTAGATATAAAAGCCCAAGAGCAACTTTTGGCACAGCATGCCCAAATATAATAGGTCTCACATAATCAATCACGTTAGCTTCTAAACCCCTAAAAATAAATTATCAATTCAATTTTATAAAACCAACTAATCTGTCTAACAGCTAAAGCTTTCAGATACTCAAAATCCAAGATATGACCATTACTTATTTAGTTTAGATGAGGATTTATGTGCTAATAATTACTTGTACAATTAATAATAGAATCAGACTAAGTGGAAGTGCACTACATAAAAACTTACCAATGAAAATGTATAACAACAGAAGCTGCAAGAACGTCATCGAGTAGGGTATTATGAGCAAGAAGAGCAATGGGAACCATCCCTAAAAGTGCAACTGATACTCCTCTTTCCACTGTCCATAATTTTCCATGATCACCAGACATTAATCGTTTTGGAGTATTGAATTTCGATTCACGGCATACTTTGATTGGTTCTTTTTTTATTGCGCTCAAAATTTGAGTGAAAGGCCGTTTAGAATCTACTTTGATGGCAGTTTTGAAAAAATTTTGTGTAGCTAAAAAAATTGAGTCAAGAATAATTACATAACAAAAAAACATCTAGCATACCTTGGACGCTTAATGATTTTTTCAGGACTAACGCTAAAGCCATAATTTTATTTGAAAATCACAAAAGGAAAATCCTCCCTAAATATTTCAAATCCTAACCTTCCTAAAAAAGAACTCAAATTTTTAATCAAAATATGAACATATAAATAATTTAGTGTCTAAATAGTAGTGTTACAAATTATCATTAAACAGGGTTGCCAGACTGCTAAGTTTGATTTCTCCAGTCGCAATTTAAAAATTAAAAATACACCAAATATTGGACTGTGGATTATGATTTGTTATTTCTGGATTTTAATACATTTTCGTGGCTACTAAAATATTTCCGTACATCTCTAAAATATTCCAAAATAAGCTGATTTACCAATAAATCCCCAATAACTAAAACTAGAACATATTTATTGCACATGAAAATGACTGTCGAGTAAAATTTTATTTTTCAAATGAAAGAAAGACCTTATAAGATATGACAGTAAAATAATATAAAGACACTAAAACATAATATGTCAATTGAAAGCTAAAGAAAATAGTAATCATTGAAAAGAAGATAAAGAAAAGAATGATAAAAGTTATGATATACTAATTGGATTTTTGTATTTTTATTTGATTTTGTGATTTATTAGATTAGTTTTAATTCAAGTAGTGCCAGACCTAATATCGACTGTTATTCTCCGGTAATTATTTTTTCCCTAAAGAAATCCGGAGAAAAAATCCCAAAAGAAAAAATCTAATTTTTGAGAAAAATCCCTCAATCTGGCTGTCGATGCATAAATCGTGGATCAAATAAAACAGTTGGCAGACATGAATACCTGAAAAGCCAAGGATTATCACTATTAAAAAGGATAGCCTAGTTCCTCAAAACTTTTTATGTGCAATGTTGCCAATTGTCGATTAGGGACGTCACCGCAGAACCATTAACGGAACTTTGCATTCATTTAAGAGCAAACCGAATACCTCGAAAATTTATAATTCATTTTGAGCTTTTATTTTAAGTCCGATTTTTGTGAAATTTTCAGGAAATAACAATAATAACAAAACTAAGCGTGGAGAAATCTTGAATTATTTGTAAACCTTTGAAAAGTATATATTTTGAAATCTTTTCTTCAAGGAATTTCAAAAAAAAAAAACACTAGTATTCATTAAAAAAAAAAAGATAAATAAAAGTACACACAACCAAACTTATATAGAATCACTGTGTATTTCTGAATAAACGTTTTGTAAGGAAAAAATTTGGTAACTAACTTTAAGATAAGGCCTTTTGTTCTTAACAAACATGATAATAAAGAAGAAATGACTGCTGAGATTTATTATCTTGTGAATTTTGTGTTCAAAAGTAAAATCACTATCATCCGGTAATTTTATTTCGGTCCAAAAAAACAACAAAATGCCTTATATTGGACCAACAGATATGCAGAGGGGCGAGAATTATTGCTCTCATTGAACAAGAAATGCCCCAATAAGACGTGGTAGTATCGAAAACGTATGAAAGGTAGGTACTTAGAACTAGAAACTCTCAAGAACAGGCCATACAAGGTAGTCAAAGAGTCACAACTGAACAACAGGACCGTTTTGTGTGCCAATTTACTTGACAAAATCCCAGTGTTTCTCATCTAGAGCTACAACGACAACCTCTGGGAGCTACAGGTGTGAACGTTTCAATTGAAACTCTAAGAAAAACACTTCGCGCACGAGATTTGTACAGTAGGAAAGAGTTACAGGTCCCACCGTTATCTAGGCAAAATAAAATTGACCGGTTAAATTGGTGCCTCCAACACCAAAACTGGACAATTGAGAATTGACAAAATGTTTTTTTTTTGATGAGACCAGAATTGGCCTAAGATCAGATGACCATCGAATTCGGGTTTTCAGAACTCCAGGAAGATGAGCGAGACCCCACGCTGCCAGATATGTCCCAAGATATCAAAGAGGAACTGTAATGTTTTGGGCAGGTATTATGCTGGAAGCAAAAACTCCATTGTTACCACTTTAAAAAACCCTAACCGGTCCGAGATATGTTGATTTAATGTTAGAACCAATCGTAAGGCCTTGGAGAGCTGCAATTAGGGATAATTTTGTCTTTATGCACGATAATGCACCTTCGCCCCATACCAGCAGAGTGGCTACAGAATATTTTGAAACAGAAGGTGTCACAGTTTTAGACTGGCCTGCTTGTTCACCAGACCTAAATCCTATCGAACACTTGTGGGACCAACTCAAAAGAAGGATCAAAGTTCGTCAAAATAATGCAGGAAATGTCGCACGGCTTATTGATGCAGCATTAGCAGAATGGGAAAACATACACTAAACCAATGTTAACAATTTAATAAGAAGCATACCAAGGCGAATAGAATAAGCTTGCATAAGGGTTAGAGGTGATAACACGGATTGTTAAAATTACCAATTTTCTTTTTGTTTTTGCTTTTCGGCTATTAAAAATTTAAATCTCATTTCGTTTCAGATACCAAAAAAATACCATTGTGTTAATTTTAATTATTTTTATTGCTATATGTGGGTTATTATTTGTCTTTAAAAGTCTTTAGTAAGGACCAAGTTTTATTCATAAACAAAAAATGTTCATACATCTCAAAAATTATGAAAAATAATAGATGATTCCATATAAGTTTGGTTGTGTGTATAGCAAACAGGATATTATAGGAAAAAAGTAAAAGTTAACCAATCTCAGCAAAAATATTTAAAACCGATTCATTTTCTGTAGAAGTATCATACAAGATTAGTAAAATATATATATTTTTTACATTTTATGGTAAGAATTATTTGTGCCGGATCTAAAATATCCCAAAAAATCCCCTAATTTTTAAGGAAAATATTTTAATCTGGCAACCCTGCGTATTATCGAGCTGACATTTGTGATTTGTGACATGAGAACAATTTTAAAAGTTTATTTATGTCATTTTTTGATTGGAAATAATCAAAAATCAAAATAATGGAAAGAATTTTACCAGACAAGAGTAAATTATGTCGCCTGTGCTTAACAGAATCTGTAGTTTATCACTCACTACTCGAAGAAGACCGAGCAATTTTCTTAGAAACTCTGACGTCTATAAAAGTATATTTGTTTAATTTTTATTTTACCAATTATGTTATTAAATTTTTCTAGATCGAAGAGGAAGAATCATTACCAACGAATGCATGCATAAGATGTTGCTTGAGTTTAAAATATGCGTTTCAAATCCAACAAAATATACTTGAAGCTGATCGAAAATTGCGTTCATTAGACTATAATTTAGTAAGCAATGTAGAGGATCAAAAGCCTATAGAAATTAATACAGAAAGAAGCATTACTGAAGATGATTCAATGCAGACTGATATGGATTTTTTTCAAATAGAACCACCGAAACCATTGGAAAATTTTCAAGTAATTGATACACCGGTTTTTGAACATGCACAATTTGAAAAAGAACCAGTTATTGAAGGTATAAATGAATCTGATATTGTTATAATAAAAAATGAAGTTGAATATATTGGAGAAAGCACTTCAGAACTTCAAGAAGATAGTATAGATACAGCTGTAGAATCTTCTTGTAAAATTTGTGGTTTAATGTTTCCCGAAAAAGAATTAATGGAACATGTAAAGTTTCATTATTTTTCCAATGTGAAATGTGATGAATGCAATATGCCTTGTGAGAATATTCATACCTATAGACTGCATTTGATGGAAGAGCATAAGGATGTGCCTACTAATAAAAATTGGGTGTGCAAAATTTGTCAGGTTTCCTTCCTATACAAGCCTTTGTATATTATTCATTTTAGAAGGTTTGTTATATATAAATCATTTATTTACTCAAAAAACTATTTTTTTACATGTTAATACATTTTCACATTTAAAATACAATAAAAAATACATAAGATACAGTACAGCTACATGCCAACTACTTATACAAAACATAATAAAAGAACAAGAAAAAAAAACGTCAATTTGTTTGAAAAACATTTAATTTCTTCAAGCAAATTATTAAAAGCCTTTACACCTTTAAAAAACACTGAATTTTATGTACATTTTTTTGTGGCCTTATAAACTCTAAAATTTTTCTTATTTTGTGTATTGTGTTCATGAACATCCTGATTATAACTTAAAATATTTTTTAAATATACTGGGGAGATTCCTAATTTAATCTTAAATATAAATAGCAGGAAATAGAATAACACATTCAACATGGAATTGATTGGTTCCAACAGCTCAGTATTATCCTCATACCTCTATTCTGCAACTTTTGCAATCGTTGCAACTCATTCTGGTTGAGCAAATACAATATAGTGGAACAATAATTAAAATAAGGTAATATTAGAGTATTTTAAATTATTATATTAGCCCATTTGCTGAGATGTGGAGAACAGCGCCTCAAATAGTTTATTTTAAATGATATGCTTTTGATGATGTTATTAGCATGTTCCTTAAATTGTAAATTTGTATGTGCCATAACCCCTAGATGTTTAAATTTTTCAACTCTCTGAAACTTTACACACTGCAATGCTACATTTAATTTTTTAAAATTTCCAGTACCCCCAATTAACATCCACTTTGTCTTTTCGTAATTTATTTTCGACAAGTTTCCATTACAATAATCATATATTTTACTTATAGAACTATTAATTTCTTTAAAACAAGTTTCAGTGCATGTTTTCATGGGTACCTAAAATATATCAGTATATCATCTGCAAATAAGTGTATTGAGCATCTTTCGACTACACCAGCAATGTCATTAATATTAATTAAAAACAGTAGCGGACCTAGAACACTACCCTGTGGCATCCCCATATTATTCTCTATATCTGAAATACAATTACTTACCTTAACCTTCTGTTTCCTATTTTCCATATAATGACCCAACACCAGTCCAGTGCACAACCCTCCAAACCAATAGCTCCTAATTTCATTAATAATCTACCCCTATTAATAGTCTCAAATGCCCTCTGTAAATCTAAAAACAGCGCCAGTGTAACCAAATTATTTTCAATTGATAACTTCCAGTCATTCAACACCAACTTTAAAGCAGTTTCACAGTTGTGTTTACTACGGAATCCTGATTGTACATTACTTATCAAACTGTTCACCTCTAAATAATCAATAATATGAAGATATATTACTTTTAAGCTATTGCATAGCTTTTATTGTGGGCTTTGAGCGCGGCGACCGAATCAAGAAATTCCGTAACACCGTAACGAAAATAAACCTAACACCCCCACTCCGACCGGCACAGCGGTGCGGCGTTGAAAGCCGTGCATCGTCTAACGTCGTTTCAGTTCGGCAGACTTCGGCACGGTGTTTGTGTGCGTGCAACTAGACGTATGCGTGTAGACTAGCTGCTAACTGCTCATAACTGATTCTATCTCTTTTAGACACAATTTCGGAAAAATTGAATTTCAAAATGAATAATGATCCACATGAATCCACAACAAAATATGGGACCACCATAATAAATAAAAATATTTTAAACAATATTAACTTCTCATTTATTCAATAAAAGAAAAAAATTTGTTTTCTTATCGGTCACCACTCTCAAAAAGTGCAACTTGAATTAATATCAAAGAAAAACTTGAATTAATATCAAAGAAAAAAATACTGCATTAATAAAATAATTATAATTGCATAAGTTGATAAAAAGTGCTATGCAATAGCTTTACCGCGGCAGTCTCTGAGTGCCACGCGTATTTTTCCAACAGCACTGATCAAATTTATCAGTCTTAAATGGGTAGCCTTACTTGGATTTGAAATTTTTGGTATCGGAATTATTGTAGCAATCTTAATATCATCCAGAACTAAGCTTGTTTCAATGTAATAGAGGTTGGTATAAACTCTCAAAACATTCTTTTAATAAAATTGTGGATATTTTGTCTGGACTATTTTTATTTGACATTGAAAATAATATTTCTTTTAATTCATTATAATTAATTAGTTTAAAATTTACAAAAGTAATTATTAATAGAAGGTATCTGCTCAGATATTTGTTCAATACTCTTTACATAATATTAATTTAAAGCATTTGGAAAAGTAAAATCCTGACGATTGTCACAAATACTGTCGAATTCAATATTAGTATTAGTAAAACTGCTTGCGATATTAGCTGTTTGAATGAAAGATTTCAAAATTTTCCACATCTCAGTAGGGTTACCCTTGTTTAAATCTATTTTAGTTTCCAAGTATTTGCTTTTTTACATGTTTAATCATTCACTGCTTTATTCCTATTAATTTATATATTTGCCAGTTTTCCTCTGATTTGTTAGTAATACATGTTTTATAACTTTTATCTCTCACACTAGTAGCAACTCTAACCTGATCATTCTACCAGTTCTGATAATATGGTAAAATTTTAACTTGGTTTCTTGGTGCCACTTCATTGATAACTTTCAAAATTTTATTTAAAAAATCTGTATTTTTCATTAATATCATGTAACCAATAAACCTATTTCTAATTTCAATAACTATCGTTTCCCTTTTCTGTTTTTTTTTTGTTTGTTTAGTTTTGCAATAATATTTCTGTGACTACTGATTTTTGGTGTGTCTATTACTTCAGTTGTAATGTCCGAGTTTGTAATAATTAAATCAAATAATGATCCTCCATGAGTATTTGCATGTGTAAATTATTTTACCACATTCTTAAAATCTGTATTAGTAACAATATTTTTTAATCTTTTTGAATGTGTTGAGTTACTGTATCAATAAATATTAAAATCCCTAACCAAAATAACTTCTAAGTTAGCATCAGTTAAATTCAGCTCACACCATTCTTCAAAAAAGTCTAGAAACAAATTCATTCCAGTACTAGGATATCTATAAAGGCATACTATCATAAACTTTTTGTTATTATGTAAGAGTTTTACTGAGATTAACCAATAAGTCCTATCTAAAATTACTATCTTAATATCTAAAATTTGTAATATCTGATTCACATAGACAATAACTCCCCCAGTATGTTGACTGTTGCTATCTGCTCTACATATTATATAAACTGTTAATATTTATTTCATTATTATATATATCTAAAGTTAAATGCATTTCTGACAGGCAAACTATCAGTGGAGTTTTATTAATAATAAAAATTTTAATTACTTCAAAATGTGCAGTTAAACTTTGACAATTCATACACAACAAAAAAGTATCTAATCTATGATTATTTGTCCCATTTGATTTTCTTTATTAATATTGTTATTATTATTATTTAAGTTATCCTCAGGATGCTCACTTAATGATTCTAATGGGCTACATTTTTCTTCAATGTTAACAAATATTAAATTTTCACATTTTCCATTTCTGCAATAATTTTTTTACAAATATTCTTGCTCACTAATTTTCATCTATTTTCTAAAATATTCACCTTTGCCACTTTTTCTTATAAATACTTACTAATTTTTAGAATATAGTTTGAGAACACATTATTAAAATTATTAACACATTGTTTAACATTATAATCCATTGCATTATATGGAACAGTGGTGAATATTGTATTTGTATTTATGCTTTTCAGCCTATTATGTATAAATTTTACAGATGGATAATGCCTTTCTCTAAAATTATTGGTTCCCGCAATTATAATTACATAATCGTAAAGAGTGAAATTACTTGTTAAAGCTACAATATCTTCCACCACTCCTTCTAAATGTACCCCAGGTTTCCTGATAGTCTGTATATTATACCTTATATTTCCATCATAACAGCGCCTCAGTTCTTTATCTAGTCCTTCTCACACTTTCATCAGATAAAATAAGTATCCTCTTCACGTCCGTCATTTTCCTTCTGCCATTCTTTTTACAAGCAGTTAGTGGTTGTGTTGTTTCTACTCTACTATTCGATTTCTGTATATTGTCTATTATATTTCTTAGATCATTCACTTCTTTTAAGTAACATTCATTTTGATTTTCTATCGATTTAATGGATCTATTTAATTTTGCATTGTTTTCTTGAAGGTTTCTTATTTCTTTACTCTTATTCTTCAAATTGTCAATGGCCATTTTGTTTTCATTTTCTAAAATTCTGATGGTTGTTACCATGTCTTTACTTAAAATATTTAATTCCTCTGCGTCTTTAGTTAAATTTGTTTCATGTTCTTCCTTACCAGAAATGATATCATTTAATGAAGTATTATCATAATTTCTTTTTTCCAAGTTCGAAATAATTTAAAAATAATATTCATTCGACCTTCTTTAATTTCGATTTTTTATTGTTCGCACTATTGATTTTCAAACTTTCTTGAAAATTCGAACTTATTCCACCAAATTCTATTTTCAGCGCCCATCCTGCCAAAGCCAAATCATGCGAAGATCAAAGTCCGGCAGGCGCTTACCCATGTTCCTATTGCAAGAAAACATTTTTCAACGAAAAAAGACGCGACGCCCATACGGCGGTGCACAAGAAAAAACAATGCGACATTTGCGGCGTGTATATCACGCCCACAAACTTTCCGGCTCATCGAAAATCGCACCTGGAAGAAGAAGTGGAGTGTCCGATATGCGGTAGAAAGTACAAAAATACGGTATCCCTGAAAGGACACATTCATTACACTCATTCTCAAAGAACTTACATGTGCGAATTTTGTGATAAAACGTTTAAAAAATCTTACAGTTTGTTGCTGCACATCAAAAGGGAGCACACTGGTAAGTTGGGAATATTTTGCGATAATCTTAATACATATTGCATACTTAAAACAGGTTAAAATAGAACAACTCTTGGTTCACCATCGTCAAACGGCTTCAGTTGATTACGAATCATATATTTCAATGTTCTACAAGTTGAAAATAATTACAATGTGCCGGATGTTTTCTTCTCTCAAAACAATTCATAGAACTCACGTAATAATCTACAAATGAGACGTTAAACCACTTATCAAACAATTCCAAATAACCAAATATATTAAATAATTATCTTTGGTCGCCGAACACAGACACAATATACAAAACAAATCAAACGGTTAACCTCCACACAGCAAAGGAACGGCTGATCATTCGGAAAGCCTATTTAAATGGTAAATTTCATCGTAAGACCGCGCAAAAACAAAACTATTGATTTTGACAATCTAAAGGTGGCCTTGACAATACTTTCTCCTACCAGTGGCATGCCTGAATGTTTTTCCCAGGATATAATTATTGAATGTCGTTAATATTCCGGAAATAAAACTTATTTATAACGTTATAAAGCAAGTAAGCTCCGGAACATAATTCTTTTGCTAGTTGCTCAGTGTGTTTTTCCCAAGATAACTTGGGGTTAAGATTGACTCTCAAATACCTGACAATCTCAAGGTTGGGCACATCTATAGGCTTCATAGAAAAATAAATTATCTGTGTCTTTTGTTCATTAAGGCTAAGATGGTTGTGTCCAAACCATTCTTTTGTTTTTGGCTGCATCTTATCCAGGCTTCCCACCAAATCAAGTAATATTTCAGCAACATCGACCCCATTTGTGTCGTCCGCAAAATTTATGTACCTTTGGGTCTCTGTGCTGGTTAAATCATCAGTTTCGTTAATGTAGATAATAAACAATGACGGCCCCGGCACAGAGCCCTGAGGCATCCCTAGAGCCATCTCAATTAGTTCTGACTTGTTTTTCTCTATATTTACATACTGATTCCTCTCTGCAAGATAAGAGTCTATCATATTTACTTGGTAAATCAAAACCATATACAGGGTGTTTCATAATATATGCGCAGGACTTCAGGACGTGATAGCTCGTCCAAAAATATGAAAAAACGTTTCTATTAACTTACCCTCTAAAATGCACCATTTTCGAGATACAGGGTGTTGAAATTGAAAAAAAAAAAATTCTACGCCACCGGAAAAAGTACGGTTTTGAGACGCCCATTTGAACCGCCAATGTTGCACCAGTCGGTAGTAGAAAAACTGGCTCGGGCATTCTCAGAAGGACAGTACCACCACCATTATACCAGTGGCGTTACTACTGGATTTATCAACGATCGGTCCTTTCAACCGAGATTCATGTACTCCTGGGTTAAGACTATATTTTAAACTTCTGACCTCAAGACATGCATTGGCATTATTATATTTCTTTCATCTATTGCCACTACTAAGGAATTGAGATCCATATTAAGAACAAGGAAATATTTCTCCCCATTCAACATACTGTCGCTATACGAGACCTAAACCAATAATTTATTTTTCATTGTAGGCGAAAAATCACACGTCTGCGACCTCTGCGGCAAGAGTTTCCTCACCTTCTACAATCTAAGCAAACACAAAAAGATGACTCATCAAAAACTTCGACCGTTCCAATGCGAATATTGCCAAAAAAAATTCTCGTCCAAGTTCGCGTTGCGTACGCACGAACGTCAACACACTTTGGACGCGCCGTTCGAGTGCGATCTTTGCAGCCAAAGTTTTCGGCAGAAGGTGTCGCTGAAGAGCCACAAGAAGTCGGTGCACAACGTCGTGGAGCCGTTGACATGCGCCTGCGAGGTGTGCGGAAAGCGGTTCAGCAGTAAGTTTGCTGTTATGAGCCACATGAGGTTGCATTAATTCCGTTTGTATGATGTTGCGTTAAGTTTGTATATTGAGATGTTTGCACTTTTTGAATAAATAATTGTTGATAGTTTTGTAGGGTTTTTATTTACTAATGCGGCGAAAGGTTGCCAATCCTCTTATTGTAAGATATTTTGTGGTACATATATGTACCATATATGAATTATCGATCCCAATATCCATTTCGATTAAGGTTCGCTCTGAGGTAGAAATATTTACCAATTGTGGTACGCATCTGTACCAGAAAGAGGCTAGTGCTTTAGTTTTTTGAGTAACACAGTTAAAAAAGTGAACACACAAAATGTTAAGTTTTGATTTGTGATACGTTTTATTTCTTTTTGACTTATTAAAGTTTCTGTAATAAATAATTATGATTCGTTAATATTTTAGAATGTTTCTTGAGTGGTACAAATGAGTACCACAAAAAGGTTTGTATAAATATGCACCAATTTAAAAGTTTCTGTAATAGTGAATATTTTAGCCTTTACCATGTCAACACATATGTTAACCACAAAGAAATTGTAAATATACGTACCACAAAAATGGTGGTACCAACCAATTTAAAGAAGTTTTTGTAATAAGTATAATAATTTGTGAATATTTTAGCCCTTTCCATGAGTGGCACATAAGTGTACCACAAAAAATATTTGCTGTACAGAAATGTAACAAGAATTAAGAGTAGTACATATGGTACGAATACATACCATAAAAAGGTTGATACATATTCACCAATTAAAAAAAATTCCGTAATAATAATTTGTGAATTTTATAACTTTTTCTCTGAATGGTATCCTGAGAGGTACATATGCGTACCACAAAAAAATTGTACTATAAAAAATAGTGCCAACCAATTAAAAAATGTTTCTGTAATAAATATAATAACTTGTGAATATTAAATTATTTTCCCTGAGTGGTACACAGGAGTACCACAAAAATATTTGTGGTACATACGTGTAACAAGAATTAAGTTTCTGTGATCAATATTTAATTTTGTTGGTACATACGCGTACTACAAAAAATAATGGTACAAATATTCACCAAATAAAAAAAGCTTCTGTAATAATTATGCCTAGGTAGTACATATGCGACCCACTAAAAATGTCCCACAAATTAAGAACGACTGTGTTTTTGAAATATGAAGTCTATAACAAATTGTACCAATTGGACAAATGTTGAAACGCTTCCAATCTTGTATGTTAAAAGGTGTAACGCAAATTTATTTACGTTCTTTTTGGTATATAAGCCTAAAAATAATGTTTGGATATTAAAGTAACTACAAGAATCTAAGCCAAACATTATGTTGTTAATACTTAACACATTAAGCGCCAAGCGAATTTTCAGAGTTTTTCTTACCAGACACATTTACTGTTAACCTCAAGTGTCAGTTTGAATTTAATTTAGAGCCGTGCGCAGTTACCACTTTTTGTCGTTCATGGACTGCTTTAGAAACATTTTTTGTGGGTCACTGTATTCCTTTTGGAAATAAACGTATTTTACATGTTGTATACTTTCTTTAAAAAAGGAACAAAGGTATTTGTGTAACTTTATTAAAAAACTGTTAAACAAAATAATAATAACAATTATTGCATTATTAATCACTTTATCTTTAAATTATTAATTATAAATTCTGTTCTAAAAAAAAAACTTAACAAAACGGAATAAATTAAGTAAAAAGTCCGTAAATCAGTAAAATATCATTATTTTTTCTATTTTTATTTATTTTTAAATCGGTTGCTAATTATTGCACTCGCCAGCTATGAAGTAATTGCACAAATATTAAAATTCGTATAGTACCATCTATTGCATTTTCGTCATCACCATCTCAGCCAGTGCTAAAATATCACTTAGTGTGATCAATCACTTGACGAGTGGGTCTGGTAGGGATTGTAAATACGCTGCCCTATCTCATAGCTGACGCTTACAATATCAGGGAACACAAAAAAGTAAAAGAACGATTACAAAGGTGGGAAAATAATGGGTACGAGAGAATAAGATGGTTAAAAAAGGTCAAACCTATAAGAAATCGTGTCTACAGATCTGGTAATAAACTCAATACATCCTTCTAATGAACTTCTAAAAAAAAAGGTCGCTGAGCTTGTAACAAAAAAATCCTCTTCGTCATTCTACCAAGTCTCTAATAAAAAAAGACCTCAGCTTATATTTTTTTGTACAAACCATGTCCCTTCCTTTAAATACTCACAAGGACATTTTGCTTCAAAAAAAAAAACAGGTGACAATACTATCTGGGACACATTGAAAGAATCGCAGAGTGAAGAACGCCATAAACCATTGCCTACAAAGGCCCAAGTTATAAGAAAAGACCGGAGTGGTAAGTCGCGAGATTAGTGTGCATCCACGTTCGCATAACAGCTCAGCAGTCAGTTTTCCGATCACGTTGTGAATGGGAGATCGTTAAGAAGCTACACTAGAGGTGTAACTATCGTTTAACCATCTAGGACGTGGAGTGAATGCCGGTAAACGAGTAGGTGAATAGATATGACAGTAGGACCTTCAGTGACCAATAATAGTGGTACAACACGCTTTAAGGGCAGCAGTGTCGCCGCGCTTCGGACGGATTAGGATATCAGGAGGGCCAATGGGTATAGAAAAAACAGGTAATAAAGTCAATACAGAAACTGAGGCGCAGCTGAGGACACCAAAAACCATTGTCTATAATATCCTAAATTATAAGATGACTGGAAGATCTAGAATGTGATTGAGAGAAACTGTTCTAAGAGAAAGAAATTAATAAACTGGAAGAAGACCAAAAATAAACAGGAATGAGGACGAATAACGCAGCTATGGACCTGAAAGAACGTTGGCACAAGCGATTCTCGATTAATTTCTTATGAAGCATGGGTATAAAAAAGACCGTCTAATTTCATTAAAAGTACCCCAAGAATATCTGTAATTTATAGAAAATTAGTTATATTGTAACTTTTCTGAAAAACAGAATAATTTAATAATTATCGATTAAATTTGCGATTGTAGCTTATACTGAAGATGACCTTTCTTCCTACGCTCGATTTTCAGATAAATATTCATTGTAATACTTCAAAAATATATCCCTGCACGCCACCGACACTTTCAACTTGCTGCAAAGCAAAAATATACCGGAAAGCTTCCTGTGCAAGGAATAAACTTCTTCGGGCGGAGGACACAGCCTGTGAACGATCATAATTTGAGCTAATTCTTGAATTCTACCAGTCATATCCTGTTGCGCAAAGTCGTACTTTCCTTTTACCCTGAAGATTTCGCCTAAAATCATTACGGCGTCCACGTGGGCCTCTTCCATTATCTACAAAATAAAATCTTGTTACAAATTTACCAGATTTTTGTTTTTATTAAATTCACCTTGCTTTCATAGCCAGTCAGGAAACCTAATTGTTTGGACCCTTCGAGGACGGCCTGTCGATCATCGTCGAAAGCCGCTTTAAGAATTTTAATGTACTGATCGATGAATCCTTTAGAATATTCTCGGCTCGCGCCAAAGTCCAAAAGAAGCATCTAAAAGTTGAGTCAAGTTTTGATTAAATCCATCATTTGTGAGAATATTCTCCAATTCTAACTACGAAATTATGAAAAATACACCCCCATATCCCCAAAATGAGAACAAACCAAACATTGAAAAAATTGAAGTGACACTTAAGATAATTAATTTAATTTGGAGACACGTTTGTCAATCACGTTTTATCTTCATGTTATAGTTATTCTTACAAAAAAGAATTCGAAATAATTACAGTCCACAGTCAATGCTCTATAATCAATACATGGATCGAACTTGGAATCTTTGGACTGTGACCGTCCATGATCTTACCAATTAAGCTATTGAAGTACAAGGCTTTCGACCTCCGAACTGCTAGATTTGAAGTCGGCGCAAACACAAATTCTAATCTCATCCCAGCTCTCCCAATTCTTCTTAAAGTCAACCTTATGACATCGTGTAGAAAGGACGATAATCTAATTGTACTAGAATAAATTTCTAAGTACCTTCATTCGTTCAACAGTGTTAAGTTTGCAAGTACGGGCCGACGTGAAATGAAATTAAAGAAAGGAAGTAAGAAAAATTAGGTGAGATTCGAAAAACTGAAATGCAATTTTGAAAATATGAAGATGAAAAATTGTTGGGTCTAAAAACTCAAATCGCCCAAACAAATAAAAAAAGTAATTTACCTGTTTCTTATTTGGATTATACAAAAAATTCGCCCAATTCGGATCGGTTTGCATAAATCTGAATTTCAATATTTCCAAAAGGCACAATTCCATAATTTTATCACCTATAAATTGTCTGTGTTCAATATCCAAATCGAAACATTGATCCACAGGGACACCATCTAATAATTCAGTTGTAAATACTTGCTTTGTTGATAAATTATCTAAAATAACGCATATTAAAAATTCCTATATAAAAGCTGTCGGAAATATGTCACTTGTCAAAAGTGTAAACAATCATTTTACTTACCAATAACATCAGGTACATAATAATAATCATAAGGTCTGAGCAACTCTTTGAATTTCTTCGTATACGCCGCCTCTCTGATATAATTAACTTCCCACGCCAATTCTCTCTTGGCCACGACCATGAGGTTTTCCAGAAACATTCCCTTTGGGAAAATGTTCCACATTTTCATGATGCCGCCCAAATTGTCGATATCACTATCGATACCGCGCGCTACGCCCGGATACTGGATTTTTATTGCTACTTCTCTGCCATCTTTGAGCGTGGCCTGGTGGACTTGACCTATGGAGGCAGCAGCGAAGGGGGTGTTTTCGAAAACTTCGAAATTGTTACGCCAACCGAAGCCCAGTTCGTTAGCCATCGCCTGTTAAAATTAGTCTTGATCAACAAATCAATGTACACCAACAATAAATTGGAGACTTATTTTAATCAACACAAAATGTGGTTTGTGAAATAGAAGATTCGTCTTGCATTTGGAGGGAAAAAAGTATCTATAGGAGATTTTGAGGGGATATGAAAGCTCAAAATTAATTTGGCTTTGGTTTAGGGATGTAGAGATACCTAAAATGATAAACAACCTTTAATAGTATGAGTATAAGTCGTAAAAAGAATATGGCAGCCAATGAGACAACTGGAACTGAAGCTGAGAGATTATTATGGTCTCTGATGATTCGTCATTGACTTACATGATATACTTATTGGATTATATGAAGTTTTATTTGGAAAGTAAATTATTACGTGAGATCCTTCTGACAAGCTGTCAAAAAACGTTTTATGCTGATGTACAAATACAAAATTGCAACTTTTGACACTATCACGTCCAAACAACAACCAGCGTAGTTGCATGTCACAGCCACATACTAAGAAAATCAAAGTATGTGGTCACAACTGAAAGGCGTTGTCATTTAGTACGAGATATAACGTGAAGAGATGTCTTATTAGATAATGTGAGGAGATAGGTATAAAAATGTGGCATGTTGAAAAAAATTGTGTACACTTTATTTAATTTATTTTATGACAAAGATCAATAATTAGAAAACAAAATTGTACATAAAAATTGGCTATTTGAGCGTTTTTTCAACACAGCACCCAAAACGAAATTGTCTAGCGCTCTCCAGCGGCAAAATATCTGTTTCCTCTCATTGACAGGAAAGCAGGAACTGTAGATAAACAATTTGGATTTGATTCAAGACTGCTGGTGTCATAAAAGCGTGGCAGAAGATCTCTTTTTGTTAGTACTGGCTCACAGAGAAGTCACAACCAAAGTATTTAGCTCAAAGAAACCAGACAAAAATCTTTGAAGACCTAGATGGGAAAGGGAGGAAACTTCAATCACTTTCTTGGTAACTTCGTAGCTAATAGTTTTTTCCTAAGTTAATGGCACTGGCAGTACCAACAGGTCAGATGTACTTATAGAGAAACTCACTCAAATATCAAGTAAGACAAGTTGGACAGGAAGTTGAGTAACAGATGATGGTTAAATAACTTGTACAGTTAGTACTGATGACCTTACAATTGTTCTTAAACTCTGGAAAAGAATAGGAGAGAGTGATAATGATATGTGATAAGTTCTATGTCCCCAATATTGGACTTTGCAGACTAAATGATTTGTAATATTTATTCAATTTAAAAATAACCTTTGGTATTTTAATGAATTAAAACTATCTCACCTGTTCCAGTTGCCAATCTGGCATAAAATCGGCCGACTGCCTGACTCTTTCCAATGCTTTTGCCAATTCCGGACTGACTATAGACTCGTCCTGAATACTCATGATTTGACCAAGTTTTAAAGCAGCCCCTCTCACTTTACACAAAGTGTCTACTATTCTATCCATATTGGCTTTGTTTAAAAACAACATAGAGGGATCAGATGATGTAGAATCCGCAATACCCAATGTCTTTTTAGCATATTCTGCCGCAGTACCGATGCCTAGGCCTGCTGCTAGTGTGCCGAAAGATATCATTCGGCCTATTCGAGAAGATGGTACTTTTCTTTGCTTAGCATTGTCGCTCAACTAAAAATGTGTTAGGTATGTTATAAAACTATGTTATAGTATTAAGGTGAAGGTGATATGGTCGTCATCTAAAATTTCAGGTTAAAAAACAAACGTCCTTACAGTTACAACTATTTATAATAATAATAATAGTCATCTTTATTCAGCATTTTTGTTTTTTGGTTACATCATAGTTGTAGGTACATTTTAAATTAACAGAGTAATTGACATAGGTACCTTATTCATTAAAAGTATTTGCTGCCCATTTATGACCATGTGGTTGCGCATGGGCTGCCGAATTATACTAACTTCTTTTTGAAACCATTTTTTTTAAATATGTAGGTTACATTATTAAAGTTTGACTTGTATAAGTTCATAAAATCTAATTTAATTAAAGAATACCTATTAAATTATAATTACTGAACAATAACAATATAAAATTAGCTAAAAAACACATAATTTAAAATACATATGAGATGTACAAAATAAAAATATCAAGTAAGTAAAAAATATACAATTACAACTAAATTAATAATAAATAATATCGTCCCCTTAGTGCAACAACTAGATAACTTGAAATTTATAGTTTTGAGAAAAGCCACTTTAAAGATTAAAACCGAAAAAAAAATACACCTGTTAAGTAATCAAAAATATTTAATATCTATACAGATACGTTGCATATCAAATTATGATTTGTTAATTTTGGAAACAATTAGGTTTTATATCTTTGCAGAATTTAATCAAAAACTTGAGATATCTAGTTGTTGCTGAAAAAAGAGTAAAGTTATCTATTTATAACCACTAACAATTAAACGCAAATCACCTAATAAATAAAACTTTATTTTGAATAAAAAATTAATAGGATTAGTTTATATAAAACCCAAAAGATTCCACGCTTGATACAACTTAAGTGTCAATATCAATGATCTCGGTTTGGGAATCTTCCATGTTTTAAGGCCGTTTACGTTGGTCTCCTATGAATGGAAGACTTTCAAAAATGCTTTATACTCGCTAGGGAGGGCCGGAGGATTCATTTTAAACAAAGACATAAGGTCACCATATTTTTTTTAAGTGGTAGTTGACTTTGATACAAGGCTCTTGGGTATTATTTAAAGACGACATACGTGTTTTACGTTTAAAATTTAGACGTCTAAACTCCCCATCAAAATCTTCTATAAAATTAATAATAAATGGCGCCGATTTTGAAAAGTTCAACCAGCATATTTTCTGCCCACTAACCAAGTTATGGCTTTTAAAAAGACACCGTAAAAACAATTTAGCAGCACAGAAACAACCCTGTTGTTTTAAGCACACAACTAAATATCTCATAGCGACCAAGAAGGTGCCGGCAGATAACTCAATAATACCAGTGCTAAAACTAGATATCTCAAGATCTCTAGTTATAAAATGTATATATTGGTAGTATCTGTTTTTAGTAACTCTTGAAAAATAGGTTTGGTTGCTCATACATGATATCCAGTTGTTGCATTGAAAAGAGCATGAAAAACAGGACAGATTAAACTGGATAACTCAAAATGCATAAATTTCGAGTTATCTAGTTGTTGCACTAAGAGGGCGATATAAGTTCGAATACTTGTATATTTAATCAATTATTTCTCTTTGGGATTTTCTATCCGAATTAATAAGAAATTTTTTGATGATAGATTTAAAGAGTTCAACGGAATTTATGATTTGTAAATATGCCTTGTACATATCTGGAAAATAATTAAAGATTTTTGCACTTAAATAAATATAAAAACGTTGTGCTATTGTTTTATTTACAAGGTGGGTACCAACTTTTCCTTTATCCTTGCTTCTTGTATCATAGTTATGGGTAATTTTGTTTAATAATTGTTTATTTTTGTAGATTAGGGTGAGATTACAGAACGTCTGCAACTTTGCAGGTCTGCAAATATGGCGGCAACTTTGAAAATCTGCAAATATGACTGACTTACACATGCAAGTATCAAGTTTTCGTATTCCAAATTTGGGTTTAGTGTTGTTGGGGGTAATAAACCACAATAAATATTGCGAATTTGCAGATATTCTTTGGAATACTTGCATTTGTAAGTCCGCCATATTTGCAGATCTGCAAAGTTGCAGATCGTCATGTGTGTTATTTTTGGAATTTTCTTTTGTAATATTTCAAGTTTGGTTATGTGATTTTTGGTTGTAGCATCGCAACAGACGATTGCGTATTGTACCTACACGACTTTGGACTAAAGCATAATAAATAATTCTTAGTAAGTAACTTGTAAAATATTTTTAAGGTATTTAAATTTAAATAAAAGAAGTCTTAAGGTATTTGTTAAGTTATTTATATGTGCGTCCCAACGTAAATGACAATCTAGAGTAATTCCTAAATATTTTATTTATTTTTTTTTTTATTGTTATTTTCTTTTTATTATAAGTTAAGCTAATGTCACTAAATTGAGGTAGATTATTAGAGTAGCTGACAAATGGTAAAAAAAAAGATTTGTTGTAGTTTATGGTTAATTTTTTATGGGAACACTAGTCTATTATTTTCTTTAAATCTCTTTCAGTTTTCCGTTTTAGATCGTCTCAAGTTTCTGCTTCATTAAAAATCGCAGTGTATTCTAAAAAAACTTACTATTTTTCCTATGGTCTGTAAATTATATAAATTGTTTACATATAATGTAAATAAAGTGGGACCTAATATAGTTCCTTGAGGAACACCGCTTTCTATTGGCCTCTCGTCACTGATTTCATTATTGATTTTAACTCTTTGAAATCTATTGTTCAGATAACTATTTAAAAGGTCAACAGTTTTCCCACATATCCTTATATCTTCCAATGTCTCTAAAAACTGTCTATGATCTACATTGTCGAAGGCCTTGGCAAAATCCAGTAAAACTGCTAGACATGGTTTCTTGCAGTCAACAGAACTATAAATTTTTTTTAACAACTCACAGATCGCATCTGTTGTTGAGAGCCCGTCTCGAAACCCGAATTGTTTGTTTGAGATGATCTTATATTTATTGAAGTAATCTTTTAAACGTAAATTTAAGGCTCTTTCCATATTATCAGAACTGGTGGAATGATCAGGTTAGAGCTGCTACTAGATAAAAGTTATAAAACATTTATTACTAACAAATCAGAGGAAAACATGAAAAAAGCAAATACTTGGAAACTAAAATAAATTTAAACAAGGGTAACCCTACTAAGATGTGGAAAACTTTGAAATCTTACATTCCAACAGCTAAAGTAATATATCTTCAAATTATTGATTATTTAGAGGGAAACAGTGTGAAACTGCTTTGTAGTTGGTGTTGCATCACTGAAAGTTATCAATTGAAAATAATTTGGTTACACTGGCGGTGTTTTTAGATTTACAGAGGGCATTTGAGACTATTAATAGGGGTAGATTATTAAAGAAATTAAGAACTATTGGTTTGAGGGGTTGTGCACTGGACTGGTTGGGTCATTATATGAAAAATAGGAAACAGATGGTTAAGGTAAGTAATTGTGTTTCAGATACTATAGAGAATAATATGGGGGTTCCACAGGGTAGTGTCCGCTATTGTTCTTCATTTATATTAATGACATTGCTGATGTAGTCGAAAGATGCTCAATACACTTATTTGCAGATATATTTTACCCATGAAAACACTGAAACTTGTTTTAAAGAAAATAATAGTTCTATAAGTAAAATATATGATTATTGTAATGGAAACTTGTTGAAAATAAATTACGAAAAGACAAAGTGGATGTTAATTGGGGGTACTGGAAATTTAAAAAAATTTACAATTTAAGGAACATGCTAATAACGTCATCAAAAGCATATCATTTAAAACAAACTATTTGAAGCACTGTTCTCCACAAATGGGCTAAAATATTAATTTATAATACTCTAATATTACCTCATTTTAATTATTGTACCATTATATAGTATTTGCTCAACCAGAATGAGTTGCAACAATTGCAAAAGTTGCTGAATAAAGGTATGAGGATAATACTGAGCTGTTCAAGATTGGAACCAATCAATTCCTTGTTGAATGTGCTTCAGTGATTTCCTGTTAGAAAATATTTGCTATTCTATTCCCTGCTATTTATATTTAAGAATAAATCAGGAATCTGTCCAGTATATTTACAAAATATTTTAAGTTATAATCAGGATGTTCATGAACACGAAATAAGAAAAATTTTATAGTTTACAATGCCACGAAAAAATGTAAACAAAATTCAGTGTTTTTTAAAGGTGTACAGACTTTTAATAATTTGCCTGAAGATATTACATGTTCTTCAAATGCAGCAATATTTAAAAGAAAACTGTGTGAGTACTTGCTGACAAATTGACTTTTTTTTTCTTGTTCTTTTATTATGTTTTGTATAGTTGATATGTACCTAAGTGTACTGTATCTTATATATTTTTTATTGTATGTTGATTCTATACTTAAGATGTTTTTATATTTTAAATTTATATTTAAAGCACCTAATATTTGTACTAAATCTGATTTATTAAAATGATTGAATTCTGGAGAGCCCATAAATTTATGGTAGCTCCAATTTACGACTAGATATCTTATATAATGTTGGGTATTGAAATTTTTCCAAACTTGAGTTATGCCTAAGGGAGCATTTTCCATAAGTAGTATTTTATTGTTTTCCCAAAATTATGTATTTATTAAATAAATAAAACGCACGAGGGGTAATAGAAGAACTTTTGGAAAAAATATTTCTTAAATATCTTTAAAGAAAAATGTATAAAATATTTCCTAACACGCTGACCATTAGCACCTTCACTTTATTATGCCCTGCAAATTATTCTTTATTTTACCTTTTGCTTTGATTTTGGATTTGGAACAGCTGTAATGTTTCCACTGGCTTCTTTTTCTTTTAATTTCGTTTCTTCCTTTTCATTTAGTACACCTGAAGTCCTTAAATCTTTATTTTCTTCACGGTTTTGTTCTTTGATTAACTTTGCCCTGTGTTCCATGTCTAACTTCTTTAGTAATAATTTATCGTTTTCTGTAAGTTCTAATTTGTAAACCCTATCTGGGGACTTTAATTTAATCAGTTCTGGTTCCACTATCCCTTCTTTATTATCGACTTTTTGGGTGTCTACCACATTATTTTCTTTTAATTTTCTTTCAAGTTTTTCCTTTTGTGAATGTAAAACACTTGGTTTAGTTAGTTCAGTTAATACGTCTATAACAGTTGGTATTTTTGGTAGTTCTACAAAAATATGATTTCACCTACACATATTTTGAAATACAACACCTACATACATTGCCCAAATAAAGAAAAAGCAATTCAAGATTTATTAGTCACTTTTAACAAAGCTGTATCAATGGTGTATCTACATAATTCAGTTAATGAGACAAAACAAGCATTTTAGTCCTACAAAAAGCAGCAAAAATTGCTAAAATAAATTGTTTGTAAGTAATTTCCCCTCTTCCTACAGCAGATGCATAATTTTTACCTGTTTTTTGGGCCAAGGTCGTAGTGGTATAAACTTTAATTCCTTGAAGAACTGTATTTACACGGCCAATTCCTTCTGCGATATCAGCCGAGCTTACCCCTTGAAAAGTTGGTGCTTTCTTACAATTTTCTGCGGCATATCGCAAACTTGAATTTGCCCATATAAACTGGATATTTTTTGCTTTTAATCTGGCACATGCCTCTGTGATTAATTGCAGTGATTTAAGAAGGCTGGCAAGATCTTGGATACGCGACATTGAAATGCACTCCAGAAAGCACAATTTTTGGTAAATTTTCGAGTTAATAATGTATTTCAATGTTAAATGAAAGTTACGTAAGAAAATCTGTTAATAAATTACTGATTAACTTTAAATACAATATACATACCTATATTGCTAAATTATTAATATATATAATTAAAAATGCAAGGAACCAGTTTATTTTGACTATATACAAATCGTTACCATCATAATTTAATTTGGTAGAATGAGGAATATTCTAAATTTGTCTGTTTCGTATACCTATTAAAAATTAATTCAAACGTGGAAAACATTTTTTTTTTATTTTGTCCAAAAGATAAAAAATTCTAATTGTGTAATTTTTAATTACTTTTTTAATTAAAAAACGAAAAAATTAAAATTAAAAAGTGATTTAATAAAAGCAAAGTTAAAGGCAACAAAAAAGACGAAATTTGTTGGTTAGAATATAAAATTAAAGAAGAAGAATAGACAAAGATCTCTTAGAACTAGACGATAATTTTATAGCAAAATATTGAGTACTAGATTTGTTTCTGCAGCAGTTTCTGATCAGTGAATTGTTATATTTAAATATGTATATATTTAATGTACAGTTTACTGTTTCTGATACGGTATGTGTAATTCTATGCCTGACGGTTTGAGAAAAATTTCCCACAGTCTTAAATGTTATTAAAAGTATTATTTAAGTAATTTACTTTGAAACAATAATTTCACATATTTATAATTAATGTATAATGCTAAGCAAATAGCAATTGAAATTACCTGTAATAATAAAATGGCCATATGTCCTAAACAGAAAATTGTCTTGTAAATACCCTTGGCCCCTATACCCTTACCCTATATATACTCTTTACCATTCATTCAACTCATGCATTCTACCCGTACTCTCCATATTTTTATGAGCTCTGCTAGTTTGGTCACCAATTCAGACCATAGCCGAACCATTATTGCTGCGCCCATGTGATAGGTGTTTTATATACCTTTCGCAGCTGCCAGCGACCCATGTCCCTGTTTTATCAAAAGAAAACTTTGTATTAATATTTTTAAAGTTCTTTTCTTATTTACTATAATAGAAAAGTCAGGTTTTATGGCTTTTGTTTTTAGTATATAGATAATAGTAACGTACGCCTCATAAGGTCCATTATGCATCCTCTAGAGTCTAGGGGCATACAGAACCTGCCTCTCAATTTGTCAAAGTCAAAACCTACTGGTTGTCGCTGAGAGGTGCCTAGAGAGAGCCATCTTTTCAACTCGTCAAAGTCCCGTAGATTTAACTCGTCAAAACCCTACCGGCTGTCGCTGGAGCCGGAGGATTGTCTAGCAGGATAGCTAGTCTCTCATATTATTCTTTAGTTTCAGAAGAACTATGGTCAAATATATTAATAAATTGAATAAATCCCAAACAAAAATATTGTACACCCAACCGAAGCTTTCATAATTTTCACCTAACAAAACAAAATTATACTACCTACATAAATTTATTCGTGTTTTTATATAACTATCACCTACTGCTTGAAAAAGTAACAGTAGTTTGAGATAGTATAAATACAAATCGCCAGTGATAATCTCAAATCAGCTTTACTGGTTGCCTACGTTAAAGTACGTGGCGTTATAAAAGCATCAACATTAGTCATCAGTTTCCCTTGTCTATTTGCTCATCTGTTAACGACAGTCTTTGGTAATGGCTCGTGTTTCGTGTTATCGTGTCAACTGTCAAATAAAATTTTTTCAAAATATTTTACTTTGATTTTATAGATTTAAATAAGTTAAAATAAATGTAATTAGATACAATTACCTATCATATCTTTCTTATCCATTTTAGTTTTCCTTTCAGTAGAGGGCAATTTAATGGTGTCTTGCTTTTTTGCTAGATGAATAATGAATAATTTGTTGTAATATCTATGGTTCATATTTTATAACAAATTTTCTCAATTTATATTAAGAATGACTGAAAACCTGACTACAAATCTAGAAACACAAATAGAAGATAGTGGTGCTGTAAATGAAGAATCCGAATCTCAAACTATATCTGAGACTGATACAGAATCGAAGCCCCAAGAAGTAAGTTTGATTTTTGATCTGATTATATTCAACAAATCACAACGGTTTTTAGACAAGGTCAGGAGTCCTACTGTTACGTTCATGGCTAAATAAATCCTTTAGAGTACAAATGACAGATGGAAGAATTTTAATAGGAATATTTTTATGTACAGATAAAGAAGCAAACATAATTTTAGGATCTTGTTCTGAATATTTACCAGTAGACAGCAAAGGAAAAACAACAAATGAAGAACCACGGATGTTAGGATTGGTTATGATTCCAGGAAAACACATTGTTAGTCTTCAGTTGGTTTCTGAGTACGAATCTGCAAATCAGAAACCAATAACAAAGGAGAATGCAGAAGAAGTCATGTAAATTAATCATTTTGTAAAAGAGATAAAGTGCAATATGCAAGTTTAAGACAGGAGTGATAATAAAAACATTAAAGTAATTTTTTTTAATTGGCATATTTGATTTAAACCAATTTTTTATTTTAATAGGTAAAAGTGTTTTTTGTTATTATACACTACTGAAAATTCTATGATCATTTATTCAATGAGTAATAATAAATAATAACATGTCTTTATTAAAAACCCACGCATAATAATATACATTTGCACCAGGATGGTGAAGGTTAGCTATGCTATGCAGCTACTCTCAACCCTTAACCTTCCTAGTTGATATAATAGCATACTATTTACATTAACATATATATTAATAACATGAACAGGTATATTCGATCAACAATAAAATCCATCAACATCATCTTTTATTAACTCTGAAACAAAAACTCTGAATATCCGCAATAACTAAATTTATTCTATTTGGTGGTTCCACTGTTTCAGAACTTTAAATTGGCTATAGCTCTGAAGATTGAATTTGGTTTTAGATAACACAGAAACCGTTTAGACAGAATGGAGGGGGAAGTACTGTTTAATAGTAGCAGTTTTACCTGAGTTGTCTCCTAAGCCTAATTCTAAAATTTGAAATTGCAACCCCTATCATGTGATACCTCAATTTGAGGGTTTTCAGTTACTGCACACAAAAAATATCTATTATATTTTTTAAAAACATTTTCCCAAATATCCTTGGTTAGGTTATATTTGGGAAATCAGGGTATTTTTGCCTAAAATCAAATAAAACTGCTGTGGGAAAAGTTTCGAACTTACCAGTTCCATACTTTATTTTATAAAATAATTTATGTGGAAATCATTTAAAATTTAATTTAGAACTATTACCTACTACTAAAAATCATAATTTGAATTTACCGCCATCTGTCAATTGTTATTTTAGTTCCTGCTCCAAACACAAGATGGCGCTAATTTGGTTTAAAAGTCTACCATTGGCGTGGGGTCTCTAGTCTCTAGAACATGAACATACGTGCTTTGTGCTTTTTACAGTTTACTGAGGCATTATTTGCACTATTTTAAATATGGAACACACCTCGTAAATTCAATAATACGAAAATAAACAAAGCCAATGCTTATCAATTAAACGAGTTTTTTGTTCCATAAACGGAGATAAGCACCATTAATCTGTTTTAATTAATGTAATTTATTATTAAACTGCAACTTTCAAGATAATATAACACAGTTCTAACAAACACAGTTACACTCAGCAATTTTTTAGTAACATGTGATTATTTTTTTAGAATAAAAAACTAATGTAACACCTAAATAGAAAATTTACGGAGCCAACAAAAACTCAACCTTTTATCGCCAAGGCTAGACTATATACAACTTGAATGATTTGTTATGGGTCGCCGATGCCGATGTTATTGTAATAAATATATGAGACGTGGCTTGTCTCTGAAGTAAAAACTTGTCCCCATTGTTTAAACACATTTAATGTAATTACTGTTAATGCCATCAAAGAAAAATCTGCTGGTAGAGCTAGTGGTGGTTTGTCCATTTTTTATAGTAGGTAAAGATTTTACATGTGAAGTACTAAGATAATTCCCCTTGGTGGCTAATCTGTCTAATGAAATCTCAATTTAATAGCCTTATTGTATGTAACGTTTATTTTAAACCATCCTTAAAAATTTCCTTATTATTGGAAATCTTTCAAATTATTTTAAATGAAATAATGTGCTCTTTTCCTGACTTCATGATCATAATTGGCGGGGATTTTAACTGTAGGATTGGTAATTTAGGACATTTGCCTTTGGAACTTATAGAAAATATTTATTAGAAGAACTCACATATGATAAGGTTATTAAATCGAGAGGAAAATCTATGGTTGAATTTATGTACTAAAAAGTTACAAAAAATGAGCCGGATCCGAGCTAATGCCGCTACAAATATCCATTAAGCTAGCTGATCCGCCCTTCTTTCAGGCTTAGTACAAGCTACAAAAGGGAGACTGGCGTAACAAAAAAGTTACGAAAAATCAGCTGAGTCTGAATCTGTGCCGTTACTATGGAAATTCAAGCTAGCGGATCCGCTGTTTTTTCGGACCCGGGTCAAGCTACTAATTCGCAAATAGCGTAACTAAAAAGCTACAAAAACCCCACAAGGTGTTGTATGGTGCCGCCATCAGTTCTTTCCGGTAAGTAGGTTATTTCCGGATTTATAGAAAAACCTCAGCATATTCCTTTGAGAGGCATCATTGAAATTACATTTGATTAAATTTATAAATTATTTTATTTTATACAAAATTACAAAAAACGCCTCTGTACATCCATACTCAGGGCCTCGAAAAGTTTGAGACGTCTCTCTACGCTAAGGAAACCGGAAGAAAAATGTTAATAATACGGGGTGACCCAATGAAAACTAGCCCATTTCCAGAGTTTATAATTTTTGCTGATATATGTTATTTTGCTATAAGTTTTGCTTCAGTGACACAGAAATTATGTATTACATTTACAGGGTGTTTTTTAAAAATCTCCTCTTTTAAATTCACTGTAACCAAATTGTATCAAATGGAAACGGGCTATTCTTCATTGGGACACCCTGTAATTCTAGATAACTGTTCGCATAGAGACTTATTTTTAGAAACGTCTCAATAGACATTCGCATATATAAATTTATAATCTACATAACTATGCCAAACAATACAATGTACATTCATTGTATTTATATAATCTAGTAGAAAAATCCCAATGCAAATTATCTTGGAGGACAATGGACAGTATCAATAGATGGCAGCAAGCTTCGTCGCGTCCAAGTCATGTCTTTGATAATTTTGTCTTCTACCGAACCATCAAACGGTTGTCGAAACTGAATAATGAACAATATTTCTCTATTCACTAGTAGATGGACCCATGATCACTTGAGTATAAACCGAATATTTGTTTTAAAAATGAGATACATATACGAGATTTATTATTTTTGATGTACATTTATTTACGATTCATCATTTTAGAGAATATAACAATGTTAATTTAAATTTGACAATGTATGATGGTGGGTGAGGTTTTCCATGATGGTGGGTGAGGTTTTCCGGGTTTTCTTCACCTGTAAGTCAAATGGAACCATCAATCATCCTTAAGTCGCCCCGGAGCGCCACGGCAAATAATAATAATAGCCGTCCCTTCCCCTACACAAGTCGTTCAGTCGACTTCAGGGGTTGACATTCACTCGCCCAGACAGCATACCAAATCCTTTGGATATCTACTGAACATCCCAATATCCACTGAATGTCCAGTCCATGGTGGATATCTATTTTATATCCATGAAATGTAATTTATAGACATGCAAATGTCCATAAATAATAGTAATTATATAGCAAATTATTAAAAAATTACGCCATTGTGCTCGCTATTGTGGCTAATAGTACCGTTCAGATATTTAAAATTAATTATTTTAAGGTGTATTCAATATCCCATGGACATCCACATATATCAAAGTCTTAGCGCGGACGCAAACCATCGTGGATATCTACTAGATGTAATTTTTGATTTTGCTTCCTAAGTATAGATGGCGATACCACTTTCGTATCTACTCATGCTCAACCCGCCATAATTGAGTTGATCGAAAAATTTTTCGCATTAACACTCTATTAGAGACTGGAGTCGAGAATTTCTATTTATTGTTGAAGAGTCCTAATAAGGATGACTTTTTCCTTAGTGGGCAAACTCAAAGGCAGATTGTTGGAAATATTTTTTATCTCTATTATTTTCTTTCGACGTTATTCAATAATCATTTGGTTACTTATGAATGTCTACTAAAGATACTTAATATTTTGCTGAATATCTGAATTCTATATCCTGGGATATAGACGGACATTTGGTTGGATATCCATATTGGATATCCACAAAATATATTCTGTGGATAGTGTGGATATCTCTGGGATTTCTTGTATTGTCTGGAAGATACTAATTAGATATTTTGCTGAATATCCATAGAATATCTTCTATATTCTGGATATAGACGGATATTTGGATATCCATATTAGATCCACGGAATATTTCTGATATCCTGTGGATATATTGGATATCCACAAAAGATATTCTGTGGATATCTCTGGGATTTGGTGTGTTGTCTGGGCGTAAGGGGGTGAATTAGGAAGAGTATTATTATATTATTATTACTTAAATGAATTTAGAAATAAAGAAAAGTCTATGTATATAGAATTCTATACTCAATGATCGAGGGAGCGCTAGCACACGAGCCGTTTTGATGAAGTGTTCTGTACAGTTCTAACAGATGTCACGACAGAATTGCCTCCAATGAAACGTCCATAACGTTGTTCTACTAGGATATCTAAATACAATGGTACAATGTTTGATAGAAATAAACTAAAGAAATAGTAAACATTAATTAATTCTAACGTTTATGAGACATATACTGGAATTTCCTTAGCAGACGTAGCCAACCCTTTTCCGATCAGAATTCCTCGACCAACCTCTTCAACATGATTCGATCACAACAGGTTTTCATTCTTCACATCAATTCCTACAGCCGCGCTATTGTAATTGTTTTACTTTCTACCAAGCATATCATTGGATCTTCCTGTACAGCTGCTGGCACGGTACTGTTCCATTATGGATGAAAAAATACCTTTTCGGCATTGATGTTGATCACTCATCTGTTCTTAAAATCCAACGGGAAACCATGTAAGTTCATTACGTCCATTTCTAATAACATCTTCGATATCGGTGACAATAACAGTATGGAGTTAACTTTTCTGTACTGATTCCAAATTGAACCTGGATGTTGGCACTTTCAAATTTGACAGACCGCATTCGCAAACTTTTTAAAATAAGTCTCTTGTGGTTATTTATAGTTGTTTGTATAATGATCCTGGTTGTACCAGTATCAACCAAAAATGTATACTTTCTACCATTTATTTCGCCGTCTACGTATATTTTATTTATTTATTTGTTTACAGTACGCTACAGATACATAAAGTTCTAAATGGTATATTTAAAATATCAATTAAAACAAAATAAAAAAAGAAATTAATAAAATTGTCACAGCATAAAAAT